AAAATAGTTTTATCTACATAATCTCTAGAACCTCCTAAATGAATATCAAAGGCTTTTTTCAGTTAGACTATATTTCATCTTTTATTTTCTCTACTCTAACACCCTTTGGCGGATTTGAATTTCTTTGCAACCACCATAAAAAATAAGAAATAAATCTAAATTACCTTTCTTTTTTTCAAGAATGATTTCAGGTTGTAACAGAAAATTACAATTAGTTATCCTAAACAGCAGTTCTTACTTAATGTTATCGTTTTATCACTCTTTTAACTGTGTCAAGTAATATTCCCGCGATAAAAGCTGTGTTACGACAGCGTAATTCTCGTGACCCTGGTAACACGTAATGAGTATCTAGAACGTTCGTGAAGGCTCGAGTGTTTACCAGACGCCCGCTATTTCGTATATATAAAGACCGGCGAAAAGTGACGCCATATATATAGATAGATAATTGCAGACAGGCAGAGAAAGAGACGGACAATTGAGTCAAGCGCGGTAGCAAGTAAAGTACGTAAATCGTTCGTTGTGAATTATAGCGTGTGTTTAAGTCGAAGTGACTGTGGAAATTAAGTGTATTGCAAAGTTGAATTGAGAAAGAATAAACTAGTTTTATTTAAGAAAAGACTTGTATCGCTGAAGTTTCTCGGAAAGTATTTTTACGGGTAATTAACAAACGACCAGAGACGTAACAGCTGTAAATCTCACGGCGGCTAATGTGTAGGTCAAATTACGGTATAAAATGATGTAACGCACGAGCATACCTAGAGGAGAAATTTTTATTTATTCTTTTCATTATCTACCCTAATAAATTTCATTTTTTTTTACATTTTAGTTACTTTTTAAATAATAAATAAAGAATATGCAATAAAAAAAATAAAATTATTGCATTTGTTTGTCCTCTTGTTTATTTGCTGTTGCCTACGAATTAAACTTAACCCTATATTATGGAAATGATGGCTTTAAAGCATCAACTAATTTTTATTTCAAATACGCACTTACGAGCACAAAATAATAACACGCACAAAGAAAACAATGTCCTATAACTGTTAGAATTGAAATGGGTTCCATGTAAGGCATAAGTGCTTTAAATAATTTTCTTAGTTGCTTGATCTAAACTCGGCGACAGCAATTCTTAATCTATAGGTGAGATAACTAAAGACCTGTACTGAGAACAAGGTAGCATTATATATATATATATATATATATATATGTCATTTGGTAAGTTAAAACTATTGGTTATAGTATTAGGTACCTGATGATGACAAAACCTTGTCGAAACGTAGTACATTTGCTGCTATGCTAAACTTATATTAAAGTTTTTCTTCATTACCCATTCAAGCCATCTCTAAGCGTTATTAGTCTCAAAGTTGGTTCCTCGTAATCGAAAAAGTATTAGGAATATCACCAAATTGACCAGACTGCTGCCAGATTGTACGCAAAATCGTTCGTAGATTAACATCATTCTTCACATGAGATTATGGGGATTAACATTTCGTTTATGCATGGGCGTCCACAGAAAATTTTCCATGTTGGGCAAAGTAGTGTGACATTGTGAATTGAATAAAAAATTCATAAGCAATAATCAGTATATAGAAATGTGTTAAGTGTTAGGCATAGTAAAGAAATACACTTCATCATATCATCCCCAGAAAAAAAGCTTGCTAAATTTGTGAACCCTGAGCGAATCAATTGTGATTGACATGTGCTGAATATGCTAATGTATGGATGAGAAGTACAGTTTACACTACTGGAAAATGTGAATATCTGCATTCTGCAATAGTTTTATGTTTATGAATTTGCGTATCAGTAATAGGTAAAGCATCTGTCTGTTGAAAGAGATGTTATGACAAAACAGCAGAACAACAGTTTGAATCTGATGATTGGGCAAAGTTCTGGTACACGTCTGCTGTACATAACCTGTAAGTGACCTGATATTACTATTTTAATGCTGACCACAAGATAAGATCTTTCTCCTCTGATATGTTAATATTCGTCACACTTCATGTGGATCGATTCTGCTATTCAAAGGTTCGACGAATCTCTTTTTCATTTCTAGCATCATGGGATTTCCCGTAATGTTTAAAAATAGGCCATGGGTTTTCAGAAAGCTAGAGACTCCACTTGGGAAATTTAAGTGAAAAATACACTTTCACGAGGCCAAAACACAACTATGGTTTTAGAGAGGAAGAATAAAAATATACATCTCATGACAAGATAAAATAGGGAAATTTCTTAAAAAGTCCACAAGATTATTTTTTGCTATTCTAGTTGGCCCAAGGACCTCCTAGCTGGTCACGGCCAACTAAACGACGCCCAATATATATACACACACACACATACATTAGCTGCCACCAGTAAAATTTGTAATTTCTACCCTAGTAACAACCACGTTTTTTTTTCTTACTTAACCCAGGTGTCATACTTATATGGGTAACTATACTATGTTAAATTAGCTCATTGAAGCCACTTGTAATATGTGACCCACCAGTGTGTCACGCGGTCCATAACTAAAAGTCGGTTGTGACCTAGCTGGTCGAGCATATGGCAACTAATGTGTTAAAAATCCTTTGACAGACAAACAACTCAGAAATAGAGATATAAGAAAATAACTATGCTGTGTGGAAGAAGGCAATAATATGCATCATACATCAAAAATGTCAAAGTATAGAGAATAACAATGACGCATTTTAAACCAAATATAACTTCTCCAGGATAACATACATATATCCTTTATATATTCATGGGTTTGACTGTGCCACAAAATATCAAATTCTGATCATAGCAAAGGTTGTTACACAAATGTTTGAAGTGTAGGGTCAGAATCTTGCATAAGCAGGTCATTGTACCTTTGAAAGATATAAAAGGTTAAAATATATTAAAATAAAAGCTTCCTCCATAAGGTATCCCAAAAATTGTGTTACAGTTGCTCCCAAACCATGTTAATAAAGCATAATATTCAGTTAAAGAACAGTCATACTGTTAGGAATGTCATCAGATCGACCATGCTGCTGTCAGATTGTATGACAAATTATTTCCAGATCAATATCATTCTTCACGTCTGATGGAAGGAATTAACATTTTTCTTACCTGAAAATATTTTTTCAGATATATACCTACCTCTCTGTACAACAGAGCTATTACCTTGCACCATCACTGTAAAGACTTTTGTGCATGCCACAAGCCTTGAACAAAGCTCCCTCCCCTACACATACTAAAATGTATTCTGCTACTATATGATTTAATCAAAATTAGACTATATCTTTCATCAACAAGTGGGCAACACATCCTCAATATGCAGTAATCCCCATGATTTGTAGTATTTGAACAAAGACTCATTCTTGAAGAAACAAAATAAATATACAGTAAATGGGGAGGAAGAGTGGTAGGTGTGTAACCATCTGAAATACATTTTCAGGTAATGAAAATATTAACTTCATACACATTTACTCATCTCTATACAAAACAGAGCCATAATCTCATATTAAAGATGGTGGATGAGTCAGTACTAATAAAGAAATTACAAAGATGAGCTCTTTTTTGAAAAATATAGCATCAAAAACTAATAGAGCATGTCACCCCATACATAGTGGGGCATTAATTAGTGGAAAACCATATCCATTTCAAGCAGGAAATACTCTTAAAAGGACCTCCTCGTAATGGAAGTTGGAGAGCAAAAGATACTTTCAAAAGAATCTTTTGCATGGTACTGAAGTATTGCACAGGCAGATGGAATGTAAGATTACTAAACTGGCCATTATATCACAGGAGGTTGGCTGATCTTGAATGTGTAATATGGTTCAGGTAAAAAGTATTTTCTCATGGTCTTGTACATTTGACAAAATGATCAAAATAAGAAAACCCACAATGCTTTCCACTTTACAACTTTTGGAATACAAAACATGGAAACTGATTCCATAATCTTAACAGATACGGGGCTCCCAATAGATGATAACAAACTGTTAGAATCTTTCAAATCCTAAAAAGTAACTACATCTTTACATGTCATTATTGTGTAGAATAAGAGCTACATTTTTACCTCACAAATTTATGAACTTAGACAAATAATCATATACACTGGATCATAATTTGTGTTCATTCTTTTTATGATAAAAAAACTAAAATTATTAACATAATATCTTACAGTCAATATTCATTCATTAGTTAGCTAGGCCGCTTCTTTTGTTTTACCCGCCATCGTGCCCAAAGTTGAACAAAAAATGCAGCCTGGCTAATTAATGAATGAATCTTTGCTGTAAAATTCTTATAAATTCAATAAGTATAGCTACCAGTTTGGCCATCAATTTTGATTTCATTCCTTTAAGTCACACACTCAATCCCTTTTTGGCTGCACTTTTTTTTTTACACCTAAGGTGTTTTTGATTAGATTTCAAGATGTAGTATCAGTTTGAATAAACAAGTTATTTCTTTTGGTTTCAAAATTTAATTTTTCCTTCCTCATAAGGATTCAGAATGTAGTTATAATGAGATTATCATAAATTCACTTCCCATTAATATTTTCTAGTAAATGCTTCGAGTTTTAATTATTAGTATATAATCCCAAGTTAATTGTTAGTTGATGTTTCTTTGTAGCAATAATCACATTTCAAACACATGCTGTACTCTAGAAAAAGTAAAGCTACAATTTGCCATGTCAGTTTATAGAAATCTGTAATTATCATACATATTTTTGCTAAAAATATTTATTTTTTTAGTTTAAATGAAAAATTCAATACAACACAGATTTACTATAACATCACTTATATGCACTCTGAAATCTTAACCTAAAAGTAGCAAGTTTGGTCTCATCATACCCAAAAATACAACAAAGGAATATAAGATATCAAAAAGGCACTTGTAGTGTGTAAATACAAGTATTTTTTAACAAATATATGAATGATCTTTGGAATTCAGCTCCCCACCTTCTGCTTAAGTAGATACACAAAATAAGTTTCTTTATTATTTTGGGTGTCCAAAAATTTATTCTTTGTCTAAAGTTAATAGTCTTCTTTCGTAATTGCTAAGATCAGCTTTGTACACTTAACTCACAAACTCTTGAGTTCCAAAAAAAGAATCATAACAGTTACAAGGTAGAATAGGCTGGAGCACTCCAAAACAAGGAACTTTAATATTACCAAAGAAACATACCTTCTGACTAGCTATGAAATCAGCAATGTTACAAACAGTTGTTGTATGCTGGAATGTTAAGATAAGGATATTAACATTCAAATAACTGTCTGACACTATTAGATAACTGACAAGTTTACAATTATACTAAGTACTATTTATACTTAAAATATTTTCTTCTATTTTATCAGGGACTTTTTTTATATGTGATATAAAAATCTATACTAAAATACTTGCATGTAAAACCCATCATTTATAGTTATGTACATATCAGTTGTTACTTTTTACGATTGCACTTTATATCCTTAGTATTAGTAGCTTTTCCACAGAATAAAAAGTCAGTTTGTGAATATATTACTTTAAGAAATCCAAACAAATAATTAGGAGAAAAATCCACTTCCTATAACATATCATGCCAAATTGACATAAAGATATTTTTTCACTCCATACCAATATCATCAAAAATTAATATAAGGTTTAATTTTCCCAGTAACCAAAATTTAGCACATAAAAAAATATATATATCTTGAAATCATATATAATCATCATATATCCTGGTCCATAGATATATTTCCAGAACACTGAACCCTTGAAAGTCTTGCCATCTTAGTCATCAGCCATTTCATGCTAGCCCTTTTTTCTGCATCTCCTATGTACAAACAAACAAAAGCTTGCTTACTACCCACTAAAAGATCAATTCTAACTAAAAATTGTGTTATTACTATAATAAGAAATAAATTTATTCAAAAAAGGTTGAATATGTACTAGTTGAGGATATCATTATCAAAGATGTCATTCTCCTCCAATATTACAGAGTAGAAGTCAATGGCATAACTAGATATTTAAAAGATTCAAGGCTCAGGCTCCTTTACTCACCACTGAAAACCTAAAATACTTTAGGTGTTTGAATAACATGAGACTATATCATCACAATTAATTATCCATTATTATTCAGCAGACTAGCTGGTATCTATTTATTTATGAATTTTTTATCTTACCAAAATGTAAACTTAATGAAGATAATGTAAAGGCCTAATCTATTTTCTGATTTGCTGCTCCACTGCAATAAGACTAGTATTTCTGAAATCACAGCTCATCAGTACTGCTTTACATTATGGTGAGAAAAAGAAATTAATAAATAATTAAAAATTGGCAGTAAACCATAACTCACATTAATGTCTTTTCACAGGCTCAAAAAGTGAGCTCAGGTAGTGAGTGAAAAGCAGTATGATAATTGGGTAGCAGAGGCATCATTAGATACATAAAAGATTTGGGGCCCAGACCTATAGGCATGGGAATTTTCAGCATTTCAGTATGATATCTATTCCGATTCTTCAACACACCAACGGGGATTGAGGGCACTGTCAACTAGAATCAGGGTGTATGCCTGTGTGCAGCACCTAGTGACACCTCTGCTGAGTAGTCTAATTATCATTTATTAGCAGCAACAACTTGTTGGTTATTCCTTTAGTTTTTCACAACTCACTAACTCAGAATTAAGTTATGGAGGTGTAAAAGTGGGATATCAAACACAAAAGTAAATATTTCATATCATTATGAAAGAATATGATCAAGCAATACAGAAACTTTACTCCCCGTTAACAGCCACACTGGACAATCTATATTACTCAGTGTTAACTTTAGTGGTGTTTTAAGGCAATTTTCTTTCTTTAACTCTCTTTCTACAGGATTGGTGGATTACACTGACCTTGTAATGCATGAGCTGTTCATGAGCATACTATTATTATGTAACCTAATAAGTTTCTGATTTTTGCATTTTACTTACTCTTATAATAATAAATAAAAAATATACATGAAAAACAAAAAATGTGGAACTCACCCATTCCTCCGTATTTTTTGCTGTCAACTGTTGATGAAAGTAAAGCCTCTTTTTTTTTTTGTATAGTATTGGTACTAGTACAATAATAATGTTCATTTAATTAAATAATGCACCTAAGAACACACAATAATAACACGCACAAAGCAAATAATGTCCTATACCTATAAAAATTTATCTGGCTTTCTAACTATGTGATAAGAGCCTTTAAAAATTTAGCTTAGCTTTCCAATGTGAATACAGTGAGAGAAATTTTCAAACTGGAGGCAATACAGACAATACTCTGTACAGAAAACAATGTAATATAATATGTCATTTGATAGATTAAAACTTTTGCTTTGTATTGGTTATAAATAAGATAGTATAAAACAACAGAGAGAACTATTGGCAATTTGTGAAAGAGAAGATGTGACAGGTGGGCGTATCAAGTGGATCTGATTTTATAGTTTATGACTCTGTAAACAAATAAAATTGAAGGCTATAAAATTATGCTTTGCCTTAGTAATATTTATATTGTAATGAGTGATTTACATTACATTTTGTAGTTCTCAGAGGGGTGGTAAATAAATTAGTGAAGGAGGAAGACCTCAAGAACAAATGTCACAATTCTCATACTAGGGGAGATTAAGGATTTTTGAAATTATTTCTTTATAAAGTTAAACACTTAAAACTTATATAATATAAACATCTGATTTATTAACTACATTTTGATGCCAAGTTTATTTGTATAAAATGATAATAATTCATTAACTTTTGAATGCATCTCTCTAAAAAGTGGTGACATGCACACTTTAACTTACCCATAGTAAGTGGGTTAATAAACATTGAAATTTCATAAGTTAGTAGTAGCTACTTAGTATGTGTGTTTTAATATATAAACCACTAGTGTTAGCTTCTTTGATGACTTAATTTTTAAGTAAAATTACTTTTAACTACAACAAGTTGATGCAACAGGTTAAAAAAAAAGAAATTAGCTGCATAATTACTGAAAATATACTTAAGTATACTAACAGAAACCTGAATAAGTTTATAATCACTCAGTTAGGCTTCATAATTTTTCATTTTATTTTATGATTGAGGAACTTCATAGGTGGAGTCCAAACTTAATCTCACATTTCATTATGACTATATACTTTCTAAGATTTTCAACTTTTGGAAATCCACGAATGGATTAATTCACAGATTGAAGTATATTTCATTTGTTGTAGCTAGTGCATGTGGGTTTATTTCTTGCAGGTATTAATAACAAACTATACATACAAATGGGAGAAAATTTTGTTAAAGAGTTTTTAAATTAATCTTTCTTATTTTCCACATACAATCTATTGCACTTTAGTTTTAAAATATTTTTTAAGTTTTACAAGAAATGTCAAACTACTGAACAGTTAACACTGTCAGTTGACAGATGTATTTAAATTGTAAACAATTTCAGTATATTTTCTGAACAGTACTTGCAGATATAGTCTTTACGAATGCCCATACTTGTGATGATAAATGACTTCAAAGTTATATAAATCAATAAAATACATACAAAATCAGTGAATCAAGAAACAACCAGTACATAAACAAACTACAATAAAGGACGAACCAGTAACATTGCAGCTCCCATTTGTGCTGGAGACTTGGTAACTGTTACATTGGCTTCTTTCAATGCCTCAATCTTTTCTTGAGCACCACCTTTCCCACCAGCTATAATGGCACCTGCATGTCCCATTCTCCTACCAGCTGGAGCTGTCAAGCCAGCAATAAATGACACTACTGGTTTGGCAGAGTTCCCCTGTTGAACACAAAAAATAATGTAATTTTCAGAGCTATCTCCTGTAGAATAAAATAAGGAAATATCTCTGAAATTTATATCATCTAGCACAGTTGTATTAAACTTTTAACTTTGGATGGAATTTTGTTATGTCTACTTGTGACATTGAAGAACAGAAAAAAAAACATCAGAAAGTTAATGGCATATTTGTATTTTTCTAAGGCTTCTCTCCATAATAAAAAGGAAACATAATTAATGCAACATGAAAATAACTTACAAATTAATTCAAAAGCCTGAAGTTACACCTACTCATTAAAACTAGTTAGAGTAGGAAAAGTTTAAAGTTTAATCAAAACTTTTCACAAAATGTGACCATTTTTTAATGACTACTAATTAAAATTACTTTTTTAAAGCAGAACATAGTTAATTTGCTACACTAAAATTCCACTATCCTAATCTATATATGGTAAACAGAAATATTTATAAGTAAACTTGATAAATCGGATAAACAGAGTAAAATTTAATGAAAGCACAACGTTTCACCAGGTTAACCTGGCATCAGGTACATCAACTACAATGAATGCATTGAAACTACAAATATATATAATAATACAAGGGTACATTGAACTTTGATTGGGTATATTTAACAGTAAGGTATGATATTTCCGAAGGGTGTTTATTGATAGGGCTTGACTTCTTGAGGGTCAATGTCCGTAATCAACAAAATAGGAGAATATAAGTACTCTTTCAAAAATATAAAATATTATAACAACAAAATTTATAAA